GCTGGCTTACCCACTTCAACTATGATGGTAGCCAGCGTGCTGGCTCAGACCCACTTCAACTATGATGGCAGCCAGCGTGTTCAGTGTGAAGTGTTAAGTCGAGTGAGTTGAGGCAGTGTGTGGGTCTCTGTGTGTGTGTGTGTATCTATGTCTGTGTGTGTGTATGAGTCTCTGTCTGTGTGTGTCTATGCCAGTTCTCAGCTCCCAGCTCCACAGATTGCTCCGCGTACTCAAGTTGTACTAGAAAGTTGCCAGTTCTCAGCTTCCAGCTCCCCAGCTACTCCGCGTACTAAAGTTGTACTACAAAGTCGCCAGTTCTCAGCTTCCAGCTCCACAGATTGCTCCGCGTACTAAAGTTGTACTAGAAACTCACCAGTTCTCAGCTTCCAGCTCCACAGCTACTCCGCGTACTAAAGTTGTACTAGAAAGTCGCCAGTTCTCAGCTTCCAGCTCCCCGGCTACTCCGCGTACTAAAGTTGTACTACAAAGTCGCCAGTTCTCAGCTCCCAGCTCCACAGTTTCTCCGCGTACTAAAGTTGTACTAGAAAGTCGCCAGTTCTCAGCTTCCAGCTCCCCAGCTACTCCGCGTACTAAAGTTGTACTACAAAGTCGCCAGTGCTCATCTTCCAGCTCTCCAGATACTCTGCATACTAAAGTTGTACTACAAAGTCGCCAGTTCTCAGCTCCCAGCTCCACAGATTGCTCCGCGTACTAAAGTTGTACTAGAAAGTCGCCAGTTCTCAGCTTCCAGCTCCCCAGCTACTCTGCGTACTAAAGTTGTACTACAAAGTCGCCAGTTCTCAGCTTCCAGCTCCACAGATTGCTTTCGCGCGCTCGACACGCACGATCTCCGCAGAGGGTTGCGCGCGGACCGCACCAATCGCACTCTCGCCTGCATTTCGCGCACTCGACACGCACGATCTCCGCAGAGGGTTGCGCGCGCAGCCGGCAAATCGCACTCTCGCCTGCATTTCGCGCACTCGACACGCACGATCTCCGCAGAGGGTTGCGCGCACAGCCGGCACATCGCACTCTCGCCTGCATTTCGCGCACTCGACACGCACGATCTCCGCAGAGGGTTGCGCGCGCAGCCGGCAAATCGCACTCTCGCCTGCATTTCGCGCACTCGACGCGCACGATCTCCGCAGAGGGTTGCGCGCACACCGGACAAATCGCACTCTCGCCTGCATTTCGCGCACTCGACACGCACGATCTCCGCAGAGGGTTGCACTTTCGGTTGACGCTGTTCGTCCCGCACTCCGCCTTTCAGAGAGAATTTATAAAGTGGGGAAATGTTTTTTCATTAGGACATCTCCCGTGCTAGTTTTCCATACTCACACTTGCCTACTCACCCTTGCATATCATGCTTGCATACTTACACTTGCATACTTTGACACTGGCATACTTCGCACTTGGATGCTTTCGCTCTTCCAGTGTGTGTGTGTGTAAGTGTGAGTGTCGAAGTGCAAGTGTCGAAGTGTCAGTGTTCAAAGGATTTTCCGGAAGAACCCTTCGCAATGCTTTCGGGAAAACACTTGTCCCATGGGTTGAATGTGAGTGTAGCTCAGTCTTAGGGAGGGAGACCTCCCAGGCAACGACCTCCTGGAAGAAAGGACATACTGTAGACCCAAACTTAAACCGATTGGGCCAATGATTTCCCTAAATTGAAAATACAGACACAGACCGAGCTGTCTCTCTTTAATAGGTGGTACTTTTGGATACATTCATGACTGAGACATCGGATGGTTCAACCTTGGGATGCCCTTTGTCACGTGGGTTTTCGTTGAAACCCATCCGCGGTCACCGAGAACAACCGGCTTTCCTCGGCTCACCGGGCTCGGTCCAAGGTCAGTCATCGCACTGGAGCTGCTTGACATGTGAGCCCTGCTCGACTGGGGGGCTGCGGATGGAGAATTGGGGTACATACCTATCAGGATCATCCAACAAACATATTGGATGTTGCGGATGTGGCGTGCTTTCAGTTTGGGTGGTGTTCCCTGTTTTGCCTGTTGTGGCTATGCCAAAAGTTCGAAGGGTTTGGTGTTGTGACTGGGCTGGATGTGTTTGGTGATTGGCCTGATGCTTCCACCAGAGGGCCTGGGCTGGTCAGCAGGGTCTCTGAAACTACTGACTGAACATTCCATTTTGAGGGGTGAACAATGGCACAAAAAGACCCCTTGGTGCAAATTTGTGCCAGACCACATGTAGTTTCCCACCAAGCCAAACCAACCAACCCCTTTGTCCAACCGGTCTGGAGTATACACCCGGGAAGAGACCTACATGGAACCTGAAAATGGACCTTCGGAAGACTGTTTTCCTCTACAACCCGACGTGGTTTTCAGGTTCCACTTAAATCTTCCAGGACATAGCTCCTTCTTTCTCTCCAAAGCAACAGCCTCACTCTGTCGATGTACAATGTTGCTGAGCTTCCCCGCTTCTGTTTGAAATATATTACACTCCTGAAGATTCTTGGCTCAGTCTTCCCAAGTTGTGCTTCCAAGGCCGAGCTTTGCCATGGTTTGCCCAAACACCGCCGTTGTGATTGGTTCGCCAAGAGTTCTGAGAGGGCTAGTTTCATGGGAGGAGCTTCAAAGTCCTCAACTTGTTCCTGAAGTTCCTGATTGAAAACCACTGGCAATCTCAGAATTCCTCCCACTACGTAATATTTGCAGCTAGGTTTCATTACAACCACCATTGGTTCAGTGGTCTTCATCTTACAACTGTTATGCAACAATCATTCTTTTACTTGGAATTTTCAACCGCAAAACCAAGTCAGTCAACCTTTCATTCAATATGTAGTCTTGGACGCCTAGGGTCTGGATGATCTTTGATCTCCAAAACAGCTTCTAAGAGTGGCGCGGGGTGTTGGACGGTTCGGGCGAAGACCCGTCTTCTCATGTTCTCAATGGGCGCGCGTGGGCCAACACCCTAGGTCCTTCCTCATGTTGCCCATGCTCCTGTTGCCCATCGTCATGTTCCAGTTTCTGGACGTCTTCAGCATGTGCGCAGAAACGGTTGACGAGACGTGGATATGTGCTGCTCCACTTGGATGGTGGTTTTGGTGAGATGAGGGGAGTTCGAGGGGAGTTGACACCGATTTTGCTGGGGCCTTCATGAAGGGGGCAAATGTGATTGCTTGAAGTTGTTCTATAGCAGAATGTAGCAGAAAAGAAGAAAAACAAACATTTGTTGATGCAAGTGTTGGGTCGCCTCTTCACTAGTCCTCCTGGTAGTCATCCTGTTGTCGAAGTCTATCGGAGTCTTGTCCCCGCTTGGAGGTGAGGCGCATCTACAGGGCGTCTTGGAAGTCGAGGTCCCTGTTTGCCCGCATGATACTGTTGTATGCAAGATTGTCCATGATCAACTGCTGTGGTCTGGCTATATCTTTTTGGATCCTAATAATTCTACTTAATACTACTGTACTATACAGTACAATTTGTTTTGGGGAATTCTAATCAGACTCCCTCAATCGTTTGCTAGGGGGGAATGTTTATTGTTTCAGATCTATCCTTAACAGTCCTACCATGTTCTACCAGTTCCAACGAAGCCATTGCGGATTCATCCGTTTTGATCCCAAAGACCCAGAGGCGGACTCCGCGAAGAACAGCCAGAACGGCTTAGCCGCTAAAAAACGGACGGCCAGGTTCGCAGCTGCTTTGTATCGCGTGATGCAGGCAGGATCAATTGGATGCAGAAGATGGAGCCCCTGCAAGTGGATGGCATGTAATATGTGAGAGGATGATCAGTCGTAGCCACCAAAAGCGGAAACTGAGCAAATCAGCTTCCCTTCCGGTGCTTCATGTGCCGACCAAACAGGTGGGTTTTCACCTTCGAACACCCTCCACGTAACCATGATGATTCTCCAGATGCACTCCACAAATACCCGACATCTTTTAAAGGGTTGGACCTTCAAAACCCCTTTACACATTGAAAGTTCAGATTCTTAGGGAAGGTAGTCGGGGCTCACAACTAAGATGTGGGCCTTTCATACCAGCTAGAGCAGCTAGAGTGCTTTCCTAGATCTTGATCACTTCCCAAAACAGCTACAGGAAAACTGAGAGAAGCATCCATTTGGGAGTGCAAAACATACGGATCAGGCAATTGTCCAGCTCGCATTTGGCAAGATCGGAGTTCCCAAAGAGTCCTTTGGCATATACCCCCCTGCGCTCGTATCTTGAACCGGAAAACTTCATGTAGCGACCAGATCTGGGGATGGGATGGACAACTTGCCGGCCAGTCGTCGGTGCTCAAATGACATGAACTTCTCACATGACACGCTGCATGGTTCCACGGCAGAATGTCCGACAGTCACCAGGCGGGAAAGGGTACCAGGCACCACTTCTTTTCCTTTAGGTTTTGGAAAGATGGAGCTCGACGAAGCAAGGCCATGCCGTGCCGTTTTGCACCATGCGCCGGCTGATAAGTTCGCTGCTTTCCGCTGCTGCTCCCCTCCTCCTTTTCTCTAGCCCTCTCAAAGAGACACGGAAGACACGTTGCGTGAAGGAAAGGTGAAAGCACGGAAGACACGAGTTGGGTGAAGAAAGAGTGAATAGAGACACGGAAGACCAAGGGCCTTTGACTGCATAAGCAGTTCTATGTGCTCAAGCAGGGCCACGGGTGTAGTATTTTAAGGGCTGATTTGCTTACTCCAACATTGTGGAGAAGACTTTGCGCAGCACATGCACTGCCTCCGAACGGTGAAGAAGCTACGGCCCTGCCAGCCCCACTATCCTGGTGGATTCTTAAGGTGGGTGAACTCTTTGTAAGACAGGAGACTTGCAACATCTCATTTTTGAAAGTTGATCATTTCTGTATTGAAAAAAGTTCCATGAAAAGTTCAAGCAAAGCTGGAAGGTCTCCAAAAAAGCTTAAGTGAAAGTAGTATCAAACAAAGTTCATGCAAATTTGGAAGGGTTCAAAAAAGTTCAACCAAGCATAGAGAGATCAAATAAGTTCGAGCAAGCCTAGAAGGGCTCAAAAGAAAGTTCAATGAAAAAAATCAGCCAACCCTTCACCACCCGCTCATCGGAAACTTCACCCTCTGACCTTCCGCAGATGGACACTAATGAGAAAATATGAAGCTTTTTGGTTGAAGACTACCAGGCTTTGCGGAACACTTAAAACTTAAAAGCTTCAGCTCACAATGAAAGAGAGTCAGAGCCTGCAGACTTGCAGTTGACAATGCAAGATGGGCTGAATAAAGTCTATTCAGCCTCTCTTGCATTGTCAACTCAGCCTTTGGCTATCTTGCAGCGTGACCGGCGCTACGAAAACAATGATTTTTCCAAGCGCATCTCGCACCTTGCGCTCGGTTTGTCGCAGCGTGTCGCATTGACGAAAAATCACCCCCTGCCACCCAAAAACCTTCAGCGCGTAAAAAAAGGCGAACGGCAGCAGTTGAAAAGACAAATGGGCTACGCCGCCAGGCCGCCTGCACTCTTTTCCTGTCTAGACTCAGCTTATTGGGCGTGTATCTGTAGGATAATATAGCGCATCTATGATCCAAGCCTTTGCGACCCTTGGCTGGCCGCTGATCGGAAGCTTCGGCCTCTGACTCCCCTGCGCCTGCAGATGGAACTTCATGAGATAAAGAGCTTTTCGGTTGAAGCCTTGCTCTTCGGAAAGCCCAAAGGCTTCAAAATGCCGACCAAACGTCGCAAAGGCCCCATCATTTGGGCGGCTGACGCGTCATGTGCTTAGAGGCTTAGAGGAACCAATTTGGTTTGGAGTCAAATTTTCATGAAAGGGAAAAGGAACGATAGATTTCAAGCACTTTAAGACTCTTGCCCAACATGCTGTTCAGAACCCGCCACAGTAGGCTGGGCCCTTGGCCCTCAGCTGGTTTCCTGTTCCGATCAAAACAGCCAACGGCCCTCTCTACAAAGAAGACTCTGCCGAGCAAGACTGTGAGGATGAGGCTCCTGTTGACCAGTTCTCGGGCACTGCTGAGGAAGCAGTGAGCTCTGCCAAAGATGAAGGTGTGTGCACCAAGCAAAGGTTGCAAGACAGTGGACATCGGCAGCGTCTTCAAAGGCATTGACCACGTGTATGGTCGAGGCAAGCTCTCAAAGGCAATCCCTCCAAGATATGGACGAGGAGCTCCAGTTTTGTGACAGTGTAGAAGACGGCATGGTGGCCCCAAAAGGGTTGAGTGGTTGAGTGTAGTGAGCAAGGAACCATTTGTGCTGTTGAAGGATGCAGGGCCGCTCCCGCTCCTTGTACCGCTGGAAAGGGATGAGGGATCGGTGACCGCAGACAACAACGACGTGGACTGAGAGAAACAGTTGCCAGGGGCATCCAGGATCGGGGAGAGAGATGTCGGTCGGTTGCAGCCCTCATCATGTATATGCTGCCTGTTATACTTGTAAGGCTTGTAAGGGTGGGAAAGCACTCCCACGGTAGAGATAGCCACAGTAGTAGACATGCCCCAATCCCCAATTCTGGCGCAGTTCTGGAAGACGCTACAGATTGAGGGTCCAGATGTTGAGAGTTGCCCACGCTCTTCCGTGTGCGCCGTCTCAGTCTCAATGGACACAGTGGAAGGTCCTTCCCCGTTTGGTCTTCCAAATTTAACGAACCAGCTGGCCAACGACTTGGAAGTGAAACGCAATGGAAGCCGTCCCTCTGTGATCATGTGAACCATCTACAAATAGAAAAAAATATAATGTAGTATATAATCTATGCCCATAATACATATATGTGGTATATAGTATAACCAATAGACCAGTTGGTTTCGTCCCTTTGCGCCAGTGATTTCCACCGCGCCCCTTCACGTCTATAGGTTCCAAGGCTCCGTCGTTCATCAAGTTTCTCGGTCCACGATGGGGTGGATCGCCGATGTCGGGAGGCTGTCCTCTTCATGGATGGCGCCTACCAGTTGAACGACCGGATTTATGCTTCCGCGGCGCCATGGAGATGGACGGAGATGGCCTGACATGGGGTGCTGAGATGGCTGGTAGAGGTGTTGAGGGTCTTGATCAATGACCCTTCTTATAATGCATGTTTGGGGTTCTTTTTTTTTCTGATGTTACATTAAGAGGGCACACGTTGAAGAGAGAGACTCCCCACAAGTTGGACTGCCGATGCAGGTCACCAAGCGCTCCACTGATCAAGCGCTCCAAGGTTTGAAGAAACGAGAAGCTTTGACATGCGTGAACAGCATCTGTGCTACAGTACTCATGAACATCGACATGGATGTCAATAATCCGTCATGGTTGGTGTCTACCTCACTCTTCCAGAACGGCTGTATATATGAAATACATCTCTAACTGTATATGATTCTATATACTATGCCAGTCCTTCACATATGTCCTAGACTCTTATGCAAGCATTCCAAAACATATGTCCAGACATATATGGATCACACCAACAATAGGTTCTGGACTTGATCCCAACCATACAGTAGGTCCGTGGAGCCAAGGTGCAAGCTCGCCGGAGATCCATTAGCTCCGAGGCCACACTTCGTGGGGTCGCCGAAGGATTTGATGCTTCGACCCGTGACAAATCACGGGACGGTCGCCAGGAGTTAGAGGATTATAGAGGATTAAGTCAAGGGGCAGTTTTGTTGCGGGGAATTTTGGGCTGTTCTATTGGTAAATCATGGTCAAAAACTCTCGAAACGGAGGACATGGTGTTTTTTTCGAGGGTCACCGGACAACGACACTGAGGATGATGCTCTAATGATTTTCGGGGTCACTGGGCAAGTCCAAGAGTTGGATGGAGATATTTCTTGGAATCGGAACGGTTTTTGTCCCAAACATCCGCCGGGCAGACAGGTCGAATCAAAAACACTTCGGTGTCGGACAACTCCTGGTGCGGTGTGGTGTTTTGGTGGTGTTCTTTGGTGCTTTAGTCAAGCAAAAAGCTTGCAAAATAGAGAGATTATTGGATGTTATCTGGAGAACCAACTGTTTCACCATTGCAAAGTTGTGGAATTTGTGGATGCAAAGGTGTTTGTTCGAGAGTCTTGAACCAATTTCAGTGGTGCTAGGTGCCCCAAGACATCTCAAATTCTTTTGTACCGGTCATGCATTGGATTGGATGTTCATTAAGGATATCATAGTATCATACTGTTGATGGACAAAATCCTGCACCGCTTTGCGCACACTTTTCTTGCTGCCCTCGTTCTCCCTCGTTAACATTGGGGCCACCACAGTGAGAAAACAAAAACAAGTTGAAGGTCCAAAATCCTGCACCACCTCCTCAGAGGGGTCGCGCCAACATTGAATGAGGGGGCACGGGGGTTGCTATGCGACCCTTCCAGGGTAAAGTGGTGAGGTGGTGCAGGATTTTGTCCATCAACAGTAGGATATCAAAAGGTATCAAACACAATTATATCCCGTACTAAACGGCACATGTTTTCTGTGGAATAGCATCCATCATTTATAGGTCCAATTATTTTGCATGGACAGTGGCTAGTGTGACTGGTGTACCATGGATGTGCATGGGGAGTTGGGGGTAGGGTCACCCGCGTCTATAGTGGAAGTTCTTCAAAAGGTGTGATCATCACCTCTAGGGAGCGCCAACGCGTGGCGCTTAAGCTACTTGGCCTCCTACTTAAGCTACTTGGTCTGGGTGGGCCAAATTCTAGGTGACCTTGGTGTTCAGTAGATTTGCCAGAGGATCTGTGCTTGTCTTGTTGATAGATGCCCAGATTTCACAGTCTCCTGAAGCCTTCAAGATTGTGACCTGTGGAAGGAAGAACTCCCGCAATACCTGGAACACTTTCAACATCCGATGAATGATATGAATGCGAGTTTCCCAACTCGTAGCTGGTGCCTGTTTTCTTCATTTGACACAAGACTGAGAAAATGACACCAACTGGGCTTCCCATGTGACATTTTGGAAGCAACTGTGTAGAATACCAGCCACCTGAATGATCGTTCAAGTGAGCTGGTGATTTAATTTCACAGTATACCTATTAATGTAGCTGTGAGTGCAACAACCATGCTAGGTCATAAACTCCTCTCAACCCGAGCCTTGCAACTCCCTTGTAACTCCATTCGTGCACCTTCGTTGTTTGACCATCACATCTTCCTCAAACACCGGATCCGGCCACATCCGCTGGTGAACCAGTCAGTCCAGGCCTTCCATGGGCGGCTCGCTCTCATGGTGAGCGTCTCCTTGGCCCTCGTCATCGGAGCGCCATTTGGAGGCCGAAAAGAGTGGCGGATGGATCCAAGAAAAGCCCTAGTAACAAGTGCCTCGCTAGTAGTAACAAGTGCCTTACTAGTAGTAACAAGAAGCTATTAGTTAATTTAGTTTAAATTAATAGCTTCTTGTTAATACTAGTAAGGCACTTGTTACTAGAAGCGATGCACTTGTTCCTAACCAAAACACCCTGGTTGACCAAGGAACATGTGGGCCATGGACGTCTACACACCCCAGAAGCCGACAAGGAGGGAAGCAGAACGGACAAACGCGAAATTGGTGGACAAGTTCTTCTACACTTGAGATATCTTTTCTGATTCGGCGGGATGACAAGGGTGTATTGTACCAATTTCAATCCAATCTATGTTGCACCCAAATGTGTTTCTTCACGAATGAACGTCAAATGGCACATCACTTCACTTCTGAACTGCATGGTTCAAAACTGCAAAAGCTCCACTGTCCCCAGTTCCCCAGAACTTTTTCTGGGGCCCGGCCAGACGGCGTTTGACCGCTCCGGAGCGGCGGCGCTCGGGGGCGGCGCGGTATGTGCACCATCTTCCATTCATCCAAGGCTGATTGCTGCGATCTATCTTTGCATGGCCGTCCCAGAGGCTGCCTTCGCCGAGATGTCGTGGGGAGGGCGGAAGATCCCACAGGGGGACGGTTTTTAGGGGAGGATGAATTTGGAGATCGTGAAAGGCACAGGCGCCATATATACTGAAGGAACGTCCAATTATTCAGGCGCTTCGGGAAAGTTTCCGACTGAATGAACCTGCCCAAGTGGAAGAAAGGGTCACCCTGTGAGGCCAGCTTGAATTGAAAGCAGAAGGCGTGTTCCTACCAAGCTTGGGGGTCACGCCCTGATAAGTAGATATAAGTGTAGTATCATGTACCTTTACCTCGTCCTATTACGTGTAACAGTCGGTTTTATCCAGGGCGTATCACGGCATTTAGAGATGTCGGCCATCATCATCCACTGTTTTTGACCCCAATTTTGGACCACCAACCAGCCCCCCAAAAATGGTTCTTTCCAATCAAAACAGAGGTCATTGACCGAGTCATGTCCGAACCCTAGGTACTCAGACACAAGCTTTTTCTATGGGACTGCCTTATGACCGTATGACTCCTGAGAGAACGGCTAGGGGTGGTTTGGAGCTGGATACAGTCCAGTGTTTAGGGAACATTCACCAGCTGTGGTTGAAAAAGGCTCAATGTAGAGGGCATATATTCGCATCCCACGGAGAGTTTGGTATACAGTATACGGATACAAACATACAATGCTACTTCATATAATATATTCCTTTTTTAGCACCCTCCAACAGGTCACCACCTGCCACATTTAAGTCTTCAAAATCTTAAAAAGCCTCCATAGGAGACCTATACTGGTATAAGAAGAAAGGTTCTTTTAGCAACCTGCCCACCCTTCAAAGACTCCCAACCGGACACCACACCGTCAACACGGTGCCAAGTGCCTAGTTGTTATTATTCATGTGTCAGAGGTAATTTGGACTTCTGGCCCAGACATGCATGTCAATGCCCAAACTGCCGAGACTCCCAAAGATTTGTGGCACCTCGATCGAAAAGCCGAAGATGATCCGAGCTGTTGCCTCTTCTGTGAGCGCCCATGGGCTACTAAGACCAGCAAGTTCGTCCCTGTGCCGGGTTGAGACAAACATTGTGATCATTGGTGGTTGAGACAAACAAACCGTCCCACGTGGGAGAGATGTATATTGAAAAAGAACCTTTCGATCGAAGAAGAAACCGAACCAAGATTACGTTTCAGAGTAGATGGCACTGGCAGCCCAAGATGTCCTGAAAACATGGGGCTTCATACCTGGACCCTCCTGTCGGGGTGTCCAATGGACTACCCCACACTACCTATAGGCTTCCATTGGGCACCCCTTGGAGGGTCCTGGTATAAACCACCGGCATTGGGGTCTGTGCCATCTACTCTCAATCCACTATACCTGGACCTTCTGTCTCTTCTTATAGACAGCATTCCAGAGATCCAATGATCCGCCTGCAGAGCCATGTCTCTTGTTCGGTCATAACGGTTCAGTTCGTTGGAATCGAACGTCTTCCCTCCAGCCACAGGGGCGCCTCGATCAATTCCAATCCAACCACCTCAGCAGTTCATCGCTACCTTACCGCCGCGGTACCGCCGCGAGCCGCGAGCCGCGGTCGGCAGCGGTCGTGGCGGTTTTTCGTGGGTGGGAAGAGGTGACCATCTGCGTGGTGAGCGCGGTGGTGGGCTCCAGCCTTTTGCTGCTGGTGAGCATTACCAGCTGGTGCGAACATGGGTCTTTGATGACTTCTTCGGCTGCACGGCAAGGAGGAGAGACGAGGTGTCGGTCAGGGTCAGTGAGGTTCCTACATGGGAGTTTTTGGCACACATTGATTGAGGTACGGTCTAGTTTTTTTCGTATTCCTACCAAACAACATAAACAACAAATATGAAGAATGTTTAGGCTACAAAGCCAGGTCAGTTCCTTGCTTTGCGTGGTTTTGGAATGCGGAGGAAGGTGTCAGGCCAAGAGTCGTGAGGGAGGATGCCCCTCAATGGGCAGGTGCAAGAAACAGAATTCCACGGTCCATAAATGATACTGTCGTGCCGATTAGGCCAGACCAGGCATTGGGCATCCAGTCGTCGTCTCACGACTTCCGATTTGCAGCTTTGTGGTTTCGTTTCTTTTTGGTCATGGTTTTTTGGTAAAGAGGTTCCAGGTTGATAAGGTGAACGTGGTGGCTGGTGTCAATATAGCCCTTTCGTGTTCTGGAAACTTCTGATGGGAGATGCAAACAGGTCTCCTTTTCTGAGACGGTCTCCCACCCAGAAGTGGCTAACCTGCAAAACTCTTTCGGGGGGATTGGGGATATCTGTAGAAGAAGAAAACTAAAACAGGGACTGGTGGAAAGTTCGATTCCAGCAACCTCTAATTTTCCAGGCAAACTGAGGACATCTGAGGGAGTCAGGTGTTTGTCTCAGAAGCGAGGATCAGGAAGGTTGGTGTTTCATACCATGTGTTTATCCCCAGGATGGTGTTTTTGCCCTCCAAAAGGCCCAGTTCATTGGACATGGGAGATGGCCTTGAAGACGCGTTCATAAAGGAGAATTAAGGATAATAGATTGGATTCTGAACCCTTTATTCTTCTCCAAAGGACATAGTAGGAAGCTTCCCCAAACACCGGAGATGAGATGACTGTCGGGCTTTTCCGATTCACAACCAAGAAGGCCCATGTTCTGTTGGCCTTATCTTAGTTGCTTGCCCTCCCTGAAAAGGAGAAACGGATGGAACATGCTTTGATCGATGAACACCATTGAAAACCCCATCTTGCTGACCTAGTTGCCGCGACACCCCCTGTTTGTTGGAGTTTGGCCTTGCAATTCCCAACGGACGTCAATCTTCCTCACCTGATTGCAGACCGGATCAGATGCCAATGTGGTGCAGCCCTGGTCCATCGGTATGATCGCATTTCGGCGCCTGCGGGTCATGGCACCTTTCCCCACCTATCCCCATGGTAGGTTGACATATCCCGAACATACAGGAATCTGTTCATTGTAGGGGGTCAACATCCGATGCTCGGGTGCCATGACCCACATCCATCGCTTGTTTTCACAAAGGATCTTGTGGCTACCAGACAAATCTGCCGGTATCCCTGGAGTTCCATTGTTTTGTTTTTTTCCGATTCACTTGCAACCATTGGAATTCATTGATGCACTCCCCAGCATCCTCTACAGTTCTTCAGCAAGTATACAAGATGATCATCAATGATTAAGAACATGCAAAGACACCAAAGCCACCAAAAAGTGTCGGGTTCACGCCCAGGTGATGTTTGCCTACAACATTTACCTTTGCTATCAGGTGGCCTCCATTCGCCCGCGTGCGGAGGAGGAGGAGATTCCCACCACCATGCACCCTGGCGAAGGACATAATGTATTTGCAGAGTGTTCATTTAGAGAGATCGGTCTATATACACTCCCTGGAACTAACATGGTTACGTGGAGAATGGCCCCTTCAAGGACCATTTTCCAATACAAACAGGTGGTGAACTCCACTTCCATGTTAGTTCCAGGGAGAGTACTTGAGAAAAGAACCACTTTGTGGTGCACTTCGGCAGTTCCATCTCTCATCAGGCTGGGGCTTTTGGTGCCTACGTTGTCCTTGGCCTATTTCGCCATCAGCAAAAGCCCTGCCAGGCGATCCGTGAAAAAAACCACCTGCGCCGCTGGTCTCGTGCCAAAAGTGCGTGGTTCAGGACCTGAAAAGCAGAATTGTTCGGAGAAGAACCCATCGGCCACGGGCCACGGTCGTGCCAGCCAAGCTACTAGCAATGGCCTCCAACCTACTAGGAATGGTGACCCTGGACCCGAACATTCAAAAAGCATGTGATGAGATGGAGATGGTTGTTGATTTCGCTGACTGACGAAAATCTGATGATCATTGTGACGAAGATGATGATGAGGATGATATGTTCTTAAAAACACTGTAGATACAAGGTATAAATATATGTACAGTAAAGTACTTGTTGGGAACTCTTGGTGGAGACGTTGTAGGTGGTGGATTCACCACTTCTTCTCCCAGTTTCTCGGTCAGGCACCTCGCAGGCCGCAAGCAGAACTCCAGCGACACCACGGATGACTTCGAACCTGGGCAGCGGTGCAGTGGGTGGAGGTGGCGACTTCGGCAGTGGTTGGTGTATTGGTCTGGACACTTGGGTTAGACAGCCATGATCTGGAGAATTATATTTTTGCTTGCACCCCCCCGTGGCCCCTTGGTCTCACCGCGGGCACAGGTAAGGCATCCGGATGCCCATGAGACATGGGCAGTTTGGACCGTGGGCATGCATGGGTTCGGGTAGCACATATGAAAATATCCAATCGGAGAAGATCTTAAGGGCAACCACTGCTGTCGTTCTTGGAGTTTGGAAGGGATCGTTTATTTTTTTATCTTGGGTGATGTGGTGTGTTAAACACAAACTTTCGACAGGAAAGCTTGGTCTTGGTTTGTTTCTTGGACAAGGATGCCCTGTTGCTGACCATCAGCAGGTTGTTGGTCACTGCCACACAATCGGTGCACGCAAAAGCACGCTGCTTTTGGTAAAGAGAGGTCGGCCATTCTCTACCGGGCCGGCTTAGCCTTTAGCATCCCTCAATCCATGTGGGGTGATAGTGAGATCCCCCTAGCAGGAGTTCCTCTTTGTTGCTTTCCAGTTGTGACCATTTCGAAGACTAGCCATGCCCACGTGTTGAAAGCAGGCTCCCGAATCAGGTCACAAGGTGATTTCAACTGCAGGTCCCAAATCAGCAGCGTGCGGCTAGGGGTGAAGCTTTCATACCAGCACCGACTTCACAGGTCACCAATTGAGACCTGTGACAGGGCCCTTCAACCCTCCAGCCATCGGAGACCTGTTGGGTTCGGTGCTGGTAGAGATATCTGGAAGATTGACCCACTGTGCGCAGAACCGACCTGTTACGCCCGAACGTCGAAGACCACCGACCACCGACCCAAACGGACCGACCGGTGACGCCCGGCGCGGCAGCGGAGGATCCCAACGACTTCCTCCTGCGTTGCTTCGTGCACTTCCTCGCGGACTTCTACGTGACCTCCGTGCTGGCGCCGAGGGTGCCCTGCCCTCGGTGTGTGGGAAGAGCGAAGAGCGCGGTGTGGTTCAGTAACACGACACCGAGTTCGACGAACCGGCGGGGGGGGGAGTGGTCCGCGGTTTTGGTGCGGACGACAGAACGTATGACTGGACATTACTATATAAGGTCACCCAACACCATGCACCTTCTGACAAAGAACCATGTGGTGGATCCGTTAGACTGAGGAGTCCCAGTCTTGTCAGTGGATTCACTTCACATGCTAAGCTCTCGATGCAGCTCTCGATGCTAAGCCTCGTCTCGACCCCACAGATACGGTCCGGCGTCCGGCCGGTCCGGCGTCCGGCTCGCGGTGACTGTCGACGCGGCCGCACGCACTGTGTCGGTTGAGCGAGAAGTTTGACCGTCTGCAACTCTACAATATATGCCTCGGGGTGTCCTGGCTGGAGGTCCCTTAGTAGTGGGCTGGGGCTTCCATTGGTGACCCCGACATGAAGGTGCTGGTGTACTTTTAAACTAACTATGTTGCAAGAATGAGAGGTGGGGAGGAGAGCTTCTACCAAGCAACCGGCTCATTTCTCCTCCTCCTTGAGCTTTGAAGAGATTTCTGGAAAATCACGCACTCCTACATCAGAAGATCGATATACATCAATGAAGGTCCTGTGAGAATCTCTCAACTGTTTAATCTTCATGCGTGAAACTCACGCCGTTCCAACCCTTTCTGCGCCCATCTCCGAGTCCGTCCTGCCCGACCAGGTGAGTTGGCTGCGGTTCAACATCCGGGCTGCGACCGTCTTCGTGCCGCGAAGCAGTGGGAACGGATGGTGCAGTAGCTCCCCCTTTGCTCTGGGCCGCAGCAGGGCATTCTGGGGCGAGGCATATGACTCCCATTGGAGGAAGATGGCCCACCGAAGCAGACGGTCTTGAACAAGAAGGATGCAGCAACTGGAAGCCTATGCAACTCCCAAATTCCACGTGAATCCGACCAGAAGAGGGGGGTGAATATGTGATGTAGTACCCTTGCCTGCAGGGCTACAGGGATGCCTGTGGCATCGAAAAAGGAACTTGTGGCATCCTACGCATCCAATGCATCCAAAAGGCACCTCTTTGGAACCAGAATATGGGATAAAAGAGTGGATGTGGGATGATGTGGGCAACCATCCCCCAGGACACCGAAGGGCGCCCCTAGGCGGTGCACCTCAGACACCCATCTCTTTTCGATGGGCCCAGAGAGTCCTGGCACCCGTGGGTCATGGCATCCGGGCACCGAACTTGTTTTGGACCGAAAATGAACCGATTCCCAGACACGACCTGTCTGGGACTGCGAGTCCGGACTGCCGCCCCAGACAGACCCCCAGTCAACCACCCCTGGCAGGCCGTTTCTCGGCATGCTATGGCAGTCCCAGACAGGTCGTGTCTGGAATTCCCCTTCTTCTTCGGGATGTCAACCCACCAGACCGGTCTGGTGGGGAGGCTAACCCGAGCCAAGCGGTTTCGCACACGGCAGAGACACCGCCTCCACCAGGTCGATGCGAGGAACGCCTGCCTCCGCTCCCCAAGAGCATCAGCCTCCGAGGTGTGTTTGGCGGTCTACGCTTGGACCTTGGTCGCACCGAAAGTCCTTCCTGACCGCGATTTCTGAGGTGAACCTTTTTCGATCAACATCAGAATCATCGAACGGTCCAAACAAAGGGCGAATCGCCATGACTCTGCAGGTGCTTGATGCACCCTGGGGCTCCTGGCCCACATCCTCAGGTGGTCAGGGTGGGTGCCAGGAGGGTCTAACTGGTGTCTAACTAACTACACCTTCTGAATCCTTCTGACATGATTGGAGCACTAGTCACTAGAGGGGATCATGATCATCACGTGACGTGGCGACCACCTCGTTGTTTGGACCGTTGAATTGGGGCGGAGTTGCTTGGACTCAGATGCACGAGATGACTGTACATAGCGGAGATGAACAGGCGGATGCACACCCAGCAGCGCTGCTTTGGGGTGAAGAAAAGAGACTCGTGCCGGGTGAAGAATCACGTATTGTTCCTTGTGTCAGACTTTCAATCATTGGAAGTTTGGTTGTCAACAGCCTAACATCGACCGGGTGGTGGTTTCAGATATTTTTATGTCCAACACTGACTCGTATTTTGCGTTTCTTATTCTTCCCTGCTTCTGGGGTCTTGGGTATTGTATGTTCACCAAGCCGATGGAGGTGAGACTCCACTACGAGCAGCCAAAGGATAGATGGTGTACATCTTGTTCCCCAGATATGCGAAGGTGCCACCCCGGATTTTGAGAGGGTTCCTTCCTACCTTCTCAAAAGGTATAAGTCCTGTCCAAATTAAAAGCATTGCATGTGGGTTTACCCTCCAAGGAATTGACCTTTGCTTTGAGCATCTCTTTTTTTCAGGCAGAAGGGAATTCAGCTCTGAGGTTGGAGGCCCTTTGCTACGTAGCAGGGAGGCCGTTGGCGTCCATTGCTTATTGGAGGCCATCGCTCTTAGGTTGGAGGCCATTGCTACTATAGGTTTGTTGAGCCGTCCTTAGGGCACCATGAATCTGCGAACACGACCGGTCGGTGGGGCGACTTCGGCGATCGGAGGCGTTTTGAAGGTCTGACGGTCTCGGAGCCTGACGCACACGGTGTTGGGATTCGTCCATTTCCGGGAAGGGCTCAAGGTTTCTTTAACAATTTTCCATTCCGTGCCCGATTGTTTTCACGATTCTCCGGTGCATGGCCGGGCGTCCAGGGCCAAGTGGCCTGGAGAGTGTCAGAAGCTCTTTGCAGCCAGGAGAAGTCGTTGAGAATGTGCTGAGTGAGGCTTGTGAGCAGCAAGACATCAGCTGGGAAGACATTGAGCCGCTGGCAGCGACTGGGGAAGATGCTCAACCTCAAGAGGTGGATGACTGGGAAGATGCCCTGCAGAGCTTGCAGGCTTCGTGGTCCTCCTTCTTATCATGGACGCAGTCCCAGCTGGCCACTCCGCTTCCTTCGCTTGAAGGCCAGCCCAGTCGGCTTCGCCATGAACTCTGGCTCAAGCACATGAACGCTTTTCTGGAGAAGGAACAGCACGCACAGACGTCCCAAGTGCCTAAAGCGGGCCAACGGTGGAGCTTGGCCCGCTTTCTTCAGCGAGTGTTCCGGCCGAGCCGCATGGAGGAGCCGTGTTGACCTGATAGGCCACGGCTCTCCAATTTGAATCACATGGGTTTTCAATGATCTTTGCTGTGTGCACGAGCACGTGCACTCAGATCCTATAACAACTATAATGATTCTCGTTGAACTTGGGCGAATTTTTAAAAGATTCCCAGAGCAAGCCTAAGGAGGTTTGTACTGGTACAAAGCATTCGCACCAAGATGCTGCCTGCATTGGAGAAAAGGCTTGGGTTATTTGTGCAATTCCAGTCATGCTGATAGTGGGGATTGGAGCCAGGAGTGCTAATGGGGTATACGAGAATGTGCCCATGCAGGATAATTGTAAAGGAGTAGTAGAGTTTCATCATGCCTATCATCATACATCATCCAAGAGACATACTTGCCCCGCTGAAGACATCGACTAACATGGACCCTGGATTTCTCCACTGCCCTACACATGGGAACCCATTCCACGCTGCCTTGGGCCTGCGTCGCTGCCGCCTTCGTCTCAGGACGGGCCATTTGGAACCATCAATGGCTTCAGGTCAGGGGCCGTTTGAGCGCTGAGATCGGTGGTTTTGCAGGCAGCTTCGATGGTGGGAAGGACAGGAGAAAAGCTCTTTTCAGTCATGGTGACTTGGGAAACTGGCAAACTATGGGCCGAGTAGCGATGCACTTGTTCCTAATAGCAAACATTGTTACTACTAGTAAGGCACTTGTTACTACGAGCGTGGCACTTGTTACTACATTATGGGCCTGAAGAATCCATCAAGCTCTTCCTGGAAAAACACCTTGTTGCTGTGGGTCAACATCTGGAGCTCGTTTCTGGTAGGTGGACATCTGGTAGTCTATCCTCTTCACTTTCTGCAGGGGAAGAAAAACGAAAATCGGCGCCCCCTTGTCATGACCCACAGACCCACAGCCACTTCGAGACAGTCTCGCAAATTCGAGCAAGAAGCTACTAGACTGGTAGCTCCTGGCATTCCATGAGAAGCGACGCGCGAGAACGGCCGGTACGTGTCGGAGGACGGGTCGTATGACCCTGGTAAAAGAACCACCCCATATGTATCCCAATGTATGAAACAGTGGTAAATAATGGTAAATATAGATAGAAACCGTTTTCGCAGCGTTTTGAAATTGGGTTTTACTTCAAAAAGAACTATGTGGGGTTCTATATACAAAAACAAGACGAAACCATAGTATATTACATATCTCATATCGACATTTAATAGTGTATTTAATGTGTGTATATATATTTTTTTTTTGGAAGATGGCATTGAGGAAGGTCCTTCAGGGGAGGCTGAAGAAACACCCAACAGTTCTTATTGAGTGGGGGGCTGTAAAGCCAACATGAATTAGGGAAAAACGATGTCACAGATGGTAAACAAATCAGTGGTATATGTACTGTAGCTATATGTTGTTATACTTGTTCAATTTGCTTGCCGTTTGTCAAAACATATCTGGTTTTTCTTTCACTTCTTTTCTCCGTGTCGCCGAAACGGGCCACTTTTGCGGTTGACCCTTTTGGTCGCCGCGTCGCTCCTTTGACGAGGACCCTCCGGGTTCGGTGGATGGGCATTCTTTATAGGGAAAGGTCAGCCAAGCCATCGAAAGGAAGGGCCAATTGGCGTCACCGGGGACGACCCATCCCCCACGGACTTGGGACCACGTGAAACCACGAGCCCCGCGTCGACGGATGGGTGCGCGAGACACGCTTCGCGTGGCAGGATGGGCCGTTTGCATGAGCAACCAGTTCCATGGGAGGAGGCCAGGAGTTCCGTTTCTTTGGGCAATCGCTGAGACTTGAAGTAGGTGGGCATCAGCAGACATTGAGCAGCATGGGATTTGCCAGGATCTCAAGTCAGAATGAAGTTTGACCCACTTCCGCGATGTTCGATGCACCTAGAATTACAGCCTTGCAGTATATACACACAGAACCGGTAGCATAGATATCTATAATTACAGCTCTAATTACAGTAATAAGTATGGTTGCATGTAAGTATATTAATTTTATGTAATTGATGTATATTACACCTACGGCCAATCGATGTGGTCATCTCATGCCATTGTCATTCTTGTTTTCCAGGCGTTCCGTAGCTCTCGATCCGTTGCTTCGTCCTTCGCCTTCCGAATGAGACCCTGCAACCTCGACCCTGACAGCGCAACCAGGTGAATGCCGCCTGGGGCCAAGCCTGCCTTTTGCTGGATGCGCTCGCCCGGGGCACCCGGACCCTTCCCGCAGCTGGAAGGGGCTCAGGCTCACCATGAGATGAAGGATGGAGCTCACCATGCAAGTCCCAGACATGACCTCAATGGAACTGCCAGCCGAGAAACGGCCAGGGATGGTGCCAGGGGGTGGTCAATGTAGGCTCCATACAGCTTGGCTCACAAGGGTTGTTTGGTGCCATGGTGAGGGCTGTGAGGAGGCCGAGAGATGCTAACTCACAGTCTCGTCCAGTGGGGTGTCCATGTGATGTACCTAGACATGCCATAGGACGGCCGTATACATTGGGGTGGTTGAAAAGGGGTGAATGGAGGCAAGTATGCCAGTCCCATGGAGTGTTTGGGGTATGACAGTTGGGGAACTTGAGAGTCGGGGAAGACGGAATTCCTCGAAGGATGCTAACCGATACTGGCTGATGAACCCCACTTTCCTGGTTTCTGTTGCTTCATTGATGTGAGTGCATGCAGGTCCCTCCTTTTTTGAAGGAACAGATAGATGGAGACCTTTCTTTCTCCATGTCAAGAATTCCTCAAGAGATTTCAGGGTGACTGCTCGACTGCCATGCCAGGGTCGTTGTTCCAAGCATCCACAGTCTAGGGCGGTGCCCTGAGTTTGTCTTTCCCGTGGAAGTTCCATCAGAGCCAACCACGTTGACGTCGTCCATTGGCCTTTTGCTATTGGTTGGTTTATAGAGTGGATACCCCTGGTCGGCCTGGTCGTGTACAACCAGTAGGTCCAAATTGTGGTACCACAGAACCAAACCGCCCCTCGACCCCTCTTTTCCAAGTACGGACATGGCAGACCAGGCTCAGACCGGGCCACCGCGGCCTCCGGTCAACGAAGCAGGTCAAGAAGCTCCGCTTCCCCAGCGGCCAGTCGCAGTACAGGCCGTTTAACAATCCTGGAGGGGTGGCAGAGACTTTAGACCGAAGCTGTTTAAGATCGTTTTCAGGAGAAAAGGGGGACACATCGAAACACCCGCAAAGAGGATCAGATGATCCAATCCTGCATTTGCACACCGCACACCCAGTTGTTGGTCGTCATGGGATCATTGCTAGGCCCAGATCCTTGTTAAAACAGTCTACTGGAGGATGAAACACAGGTGATCGCTTAGTCCAGTTCGCTGGAAGAGAAGAGAGTTTCTTCATTTCACCACACCCCAGTCCACACCCCATGTTTGGATATTCGTCGCATCAAGGAGGGAACATGGTTAGTTGAAGTAGCTGTGCATTCCTTCATTATGTGTCTATGTCTCATTCGGAATGTTCAATGCATATCTTGAAAAGCGAACAGCTGTTGTGGTGGTTTCACCGTTGTGTGACCATGGATTGTGGCTAGCGACCAGCCAGGAGACGAGATCGAACACGGAACGGTCGCGAGGTGAAGACGAGCATGTACTGCAGCAGATCATTCGCATGTGGATACCGCTTCAAAGTGACCTGTTCGGGCTTTTACATGCTGCCAACGCAGATATTCTATAAGGGAAAGGACGCTTCACCAACATAGCCACCCAAGGGGCAGCAAACGCTTGGTCGGGGCTTGCCTGAAAAGGTGGGAGAAGATTTGGACCTCATCCAGGGGTGTTTTGAATCCATTTTGTGGACACCCGAAGCGGCACCGTCCGGGTGGTTTCTCAGTCCCATTGTCCCAAGGCGTTGGGCCTTCCGACGGTTTCCGCGATCCATCCAGGCTGGTGCCCAAAGGCAGCTTTTCTTCCATCAAGGTGCGCGACTCGCGCCGTGGGGTATTTGCCAAAGGGACTACCCTAAGAATCATTGGACCCTCCGAACTGGAGGGTTTTGACGCTGCATAGCAGGGATTTGGACCCTCAAAACCTTCACCTTTGAGGGTCCTTGATTCTTAGGGTAGAGAAGTTTCATTGAATGGGTCTCGGTTCCAAGTCTTTTGTGGAACGTTTGAGATCGCTTGTGTTTCCGACCCCGATCAGGTTTAAACAAAAAGACAGGTTTCAAGTTGTTTTGACATGTTTCAACATCTTAGGTTTTGTACTGTTGAAGTTGAGAACATGGCTGGTTACTTTCAAGTGTTTGTGTGGCGAACGCAGGCACTTTCAAGCTTTCATCCCGTTTCTTGGTCATGCGATCTATTGCATGTGTTGGTTCTATCTGTGAGAGACACGAATGGAGGGGCCAGGTGTTTGTTCACTTCGGGTGCCGAGCAGGTGAGAGATGGGATTGCTACCGGTAGGGAGGATGGTGGGATGCTAGGCTCAGGTGGATTGAAAGATACATCATGATTTGCTAGGCCGTTGCAACATAGGCTCAGGATGTTTCAAAGAAGCCAGGGAAACATGTCACCATGGCAATGTACGCATGCAAAGTTGGTGAGAGCAATTAGGATTGTGATTTCTCACCTATCATGGGGGGCTTCATCAGTTCCCATGTTGGTCCAACTGAGGCTAGACATGCCGTTTGACATCATGAGGAGTACGTAGCAGCTGTTTTGCCACAAGGAAGTGTCAATCGTCCAGCAATGCGTGATTTCGGTTGCAGGTGTGGGCTTGGCTTTTTGCTTTTGCCCAGGACTTGATTTGGTGAGATTTGATGATCTCAGTGAGCTTCACCTTCACGAGACCCGTTGGTGCCACTGCTTCAGGCACTTTTGGTCAGCAGCTTTGGTTCAGCAGTCATGTAAGGCAGTGGATGGTCAGTTCCTTCGGTCGCTGCCAAACAGCTGGTGGGAGGTTCACTCTTGGAAGTCTTCACGCCTCAGGCTACCGCAGAGTGATCATTTTTGGTCAAACATTCTACGTGCACCGTGTTGTAGCATACTCCTTTCTAGGCCTCCCTCCTGATGATAAGACATGGCTGGTGCACCACAGAGATGGCAACCGGGCCAACAATTGTTTGGATAACCTAGAATATGCAACTCAATCAGAGAACAGCCTGCATTCTTATACCACAAATCCTGGAAGGGGTCGTGCAGGTAGTGCACAATCAAAGCCGGTGATGTGGAGACCAATCGATTCCCAGCTTTGGACAACTTTCCCGTCCTT